ATCTGAACTGGGGGCACATTTGGATGAGCTGGGACTCCAGCCGAGAAGTTCAGAGACCTTAAAGCTGAGGGGAACCATCTGAGGTGTTTTTGGCAGGAGAGGAATGATCATGCTGTGCCATCTGGCGGGCTAATCTGGCACAGTGAGGAGGCTGTACCGAGCAAGGACTGAGGTCCAGCAGACTAGCAAGGAGGCCACTGCAATAGTGCAGGAGGAGGAGGCTCAGTGCTGGGGCCAGGAGCAGGCGCTGTCAAGGGGCAGACCTGAGCATGAAGACTAATGGTGCTAAACAGACTGGCTCCCCTGGGGATGGAGAGGAGGGAGTTGTCCAGGGTGACCCTTAGTGTGTGTTAGGTGCCTGAATACCAAGAGGAGATGCCTAATGTGTATGTCAGGTGGGGTAAGATGCTCAGATGAGAGAGAATGGATTTGAGAGCCCTGCATGTGGAGGCTACAGAGCAGCAGGGAAAGTGGAGGCGGAGGCCAGCATTAGGTTGTGTGCCATTCCTCTGGGCCTCACTGCTGTCTCCAGCCTCCAGTCAGTATCACCTTTACTCTGTGCTCCAGCTATCCAGGCTCTTCTTCCTGTCCTCATGCAGTTCCCTCTGGAGGAGTTCACCTTCCTCTGAGGATGGGGGAAGAAGGACCGGAATGTTAATGAGGTAGCAGAGCCTGCAAGTGTTCACTGTTCATTCATCTTTGAGGGACAGGAGCCAGATGGGATTGCACTTGACAGGAAGTGTTGGTGGACTGCAGGAGGGCTGTTTTCAGATGGGAATATAAGCAGGTTGGACGGAGGGGATGCGGGACGGAGGTTCAGCAGAGAACTAGCTCAAGAACAAGGACTCAGGCAACGCAGGACGGTGGTGAGATTCAGGGCACAAGTAGACAAGACCTGGTTTTGGAGAAGGAGTTAAAAAAAAAAAGGTTTTCTGAGACAAGATGGAAGGAGGCAAGGATGAAACCTATTCCAGATGGGAGCTTAATGCTTGTTTCTTCAGGTTTAAACCACTTGTCCTAGCTGTCACACACAGTTCACTGTAGCCATACTTTCACACCCCCAATAAAAATTAAACTCCCAGACCATTTTGACAGCAGGTTTGTGTAGGGGAAGGTAACTCCCTATGGAGTGGACAGGGACCAGTCTCCAAAACACAGGCTTGCAGAACCAGCCAGTCAGAGTAGCAGAAAAGGACCTGCCTCCACAACAAGAGGCTCTCGGAGGTGGCTGGGACACCCTCACTCTGCCCGAAGGTCCCAGAGGAGAGACCTGGAGTTCAGGGCTCTTTTCCTACTACAGGATGAGTTTCACATTGCTGTGTTTCTGCAACACGAACCTGCCTGCAGCACTCCCCACCCGCCCCACGAGGAGGGCTTTTTTTTTTTTTTTTTTTTTGAGACAGAATTTCGCTCTGTTGCCTAAACTGGAGGCAATGGCATCTCCGCCTCCCGGTGCAAGTGGATTCTCCTGCCTCAGCCTCCTGAGTAGCTGGGATTACAGGCGCCACTCCACTGCACTCGGCTAATTTTTGTATTTCCAGTAGAGATGGGGTTTCACCATGTTGGCCAGGCTGATCTTGAACTCCTGACTTCAGGTAATCTGCCCACCCAGGCCTCCAAAGCATGGGATTACAGGTCTCGCCGGGAAGGGCTCTTAAAAGGGCAATGTCAGAGGCCGAGGCATCAGCCCTCCAGACCTGGCCAAGTCCAGGCCATGGCATGCCTCCTTTGTACCTGGGAAGAGCTGCTGGGAACCTCATGTTGGGAGGGTAACTGGGGAGCGGCTCAGGCCTCATCCTGGCACAGGCTTGGACACGCAGCACATTTGTCTGGGGCCCATCCTGTCAGCTCACAGACCTCACCCTGGGAGTGCAGCCAGGGCCAGCTCCTGCCGCGTACTCCCCGGGAAGGATGCAGACTCAGGGAGAGGAGGCACTCTCAGGACCTGGGGTAAACCGGAAAGCTTCGGGAGGAAAAGCAGGACAGATGGCTAGGAGAATGTTGGTTCCCAGGAGGAGGTTTCCAGTATTGGCAAGGAGTTGCCTGCCCAGCCTGGACTGTGAGTGCAGGCAGGTCCCTGTCTTACATTGGGTCCCCAGTTACCAGCCTCTTTAGAATTTCTAGAGGTCTGGCCGGGCGCGGTGGCTCAAGCCTGTAATCCCAGCACTTTGGGAGGCCGAGACGGGCGGATCGAGGCCGAGATCGAGACCATCCTGGCTAACACAGTGAAACCCCGTCACTACTAAAAAATACAAAAAAAATAGCCGGGTGAGGTGGCGGGCGCCTGTAGTCCCAGCTATAGGGAGGCTGAGGCAGGAGAATGGCACAAACCCAGGAGGCGGAGCTTGCAGTGAGCTGCGATCCGGCCACTGCACTCCAGCCTGGGCTACAGCGGAGACTCCCTCTCAAAAAAAAAAAAAAAAAAAAAAAAGAATTTCTAGAGGTCTGGCTCATCGTTGTCTCTCTTGGTGGAGAGGCCAGACTGTTGGTCCCAGTGTTTCTCACCGCCTAAAGCACTCCAGACCTGCATCTTGACCCTGAACACCTGGGTGTGGGAACCCAGGGCTGGTGAGGGACCCAGGGCTCTGACTCACTCACCAGCCCTGGAGGGTGCTTCATAACTGAGGTAACTGGGTAGCTAAGGTTGAGATGGGGCAGGTCAAGGTGCCAGGGATGAGGCATCAAAGCGTGGGATGCGGAGGCAACTAGCAGGTGGAGTCACAAGGCCATTGGGCATGTTCCCAAATGCTCAAGTTCCAGGTGGTCGGCCCTCCTAAATGAAGGCTTGATCAGCCCCATCCCACTGCCTCAGGGAGGGAGAGTGTCTGGTTTTCCCTCTGAAGGAAGGCGAACTGATACCTTCTCACAGTTATTGGAGAGCAAGAACTGTGTTACATTCTTTCTTCTGTAAACCCTGCTCCTAATGGCACCTGGCCCAGTATGCACTCGTGGCCGTGGTGTGCTTCCGGCTACAGTTTTGGGCATGACCTGTGGGAGGACCTCAGCCACAGCCAGCCTTGCTTTCACTACCATTGACTTCCTCTCCTCTGGCTTCTGGGAGCACAGGGTCCCTTTACAGTTTCTCTCTACCAGGCCAATTATTCACAGCTTGCCTCTAGCCAGGTTCCTACACCAGTCCCTACACTCGGCAGGAGGAAGGCTGGCAGGGGAAGCTGGGCTGCCTAGGCAGGAGGGTCTCTCTGCACAAAGCAGCTGGGAGTCCAGGCAGCCAGCTCCAGCAGGTAAGTCAGCTGGGTCCTGAGAGACTCAGAGTCCCAGCTTCTGCCTCCACAGAGCTTCCTAGGGCCATGGCAGAAAGCAGAGCCTCCTATTGGTAGGAAGGTCACACCAGGAGCCAAAGCAGGCAGACTGGGGAGGAGCAGGCAGCTGTAGGGACTTCTAAGGCAGAGGAGGCCCAGGGGGCCCTGTGAGAGTTCCCAGTGGGCTTCTGAATGGTATGGGGGTGGGGCAAAGCCAGCTTCCTGCTCACCAAAGCTGCCTTTCTTCAAACCAAGCAATAGTTGGAGGGGCCACAGGAATGTGAGTTTGTGGTCCTTCTGAATTACAAATGGAGCAGCTGATTATCCCCTTGTCCCGGCTTTGTTATCCCAGAGCTGGGGCAATGGGCTATATATAGCCCAGGCAGGCTGCTTGGTCCAGCCTGCGGAGCCCCAGCTGGCATGGCCAGGCAAGATAAGAGAGCCACTGTCACCCTTTCACACACACACCTACCTCAGTTTTGACAGGGTTTCCAGTAGCAAGATTAATGGGCTCAATCCCAAGCCCTCAGTGGAAAACGGAGCACATGGCCCTTTTCCTGGTACCTACGCCTCCAGCAGCCCAGGGAAGTCAATGCTCAGGACCAAGGAAGCTGAGGTGAGATAAAGGCTCCAAGTGACAGCCCAGTTCACATTCCAGCCTCAACCTCCCAAAGAAACATAAAGCACTGCCGAGGAGTCAGGACTTCCGACCTCCACCAGGCCACATTGTCTCATCTCCCTTACCATCCTTGTATTTCTGTCTTCCATGCTGGGATGGGAAATTATGGGTATAATCATATAATCATGTCCCCCACCCTACCTTCTGGACATCACGAAGATAAAAGAGGATCACCTATAGGGAGTATTTTAACCTCCTAGGAGAGAGGCACTAAATGAACAGAAGCTGTTATTAAAGTAGAGGGTTTGTAGATTGCAGATGAAAGGCAGCAGGTAAACAAACAGCCTTGAACATCAGCCTCCCTGCAAAAGTGAAATCGCTATTAGGGCAACAGTGGGAGCTCCACAAAGGGACTACAGGATTTTTCTCCTCTCCTCTGCCCTGCTGGCTATCTCTGTCCTTTGGACAAAGAGCAGCAAGATAGTATGAAGGTCTCCCCATGTAGGGGTGGCTGTAACGAGAAACTGCTGTTAATCAGTCCCCAACCTGTGCTAGGATAGAAGCTAGGGGCTCTTCTGACTAAATACAGCCTCCCTTCCACGGAGTCCTTTGTGGACTGAAGTGCTAAGAGGCCTTTAAAACTGTTCTGGGCTCTACGCCAGTCCTACCCCAATGATTTCAAGCAGGAACATATTTGTAAAGGAGGATCCTGGCCCTTGCCCTGCAAGCTTGTGTGATTCAGACTCCATTTTCCACCTGCCCCTTGAGCCTTTTCTAAGTACCCCTCCCTTCACCTACCTGTTCAAAGGCTCTGTGACTTGGCTAACTGAGGTGGAGTAGCCTAATTTGGGAAGGGAAAAGCAGAAGTGTGTATCAGGAGAACCATCAGAGGCAGGGTTCAAGCCCCAGGAAGAACACTGAGAAGAGTCCCAAGCTCTCCCAGAGATGCTTTATTGCATGGTTTCATCAAATATCAGTGATGGGTTCCTGTGCCCATGCAAGGAGACAGGAACATCTGTGTGGTACACGGCACTGCTCCCCTCTCAGCTACACAGTCAGAAGGGGGCAGGGCGATGAATGGGTGCTTGGCTTCCCTAAGTTGTTGCTAGGTTCTGAGATCTCTAAAGGACAGAATGAAAGGTAACAGGGACGCAGGAATGTTCAGGCATCGTGACCTCCATGTTCTGCAGCCTGCTTCAGGGTGACGCTCTTGCTGCCGCTTCTTTTGCTGCCTCACTGCTTCTCTTCTGCTTCTTGGATGGCTCCCTGGTCAACGGGCGCAGGCTTGCTACAAAGGGGATCAGTTCTTGCAGTCCTGGGAGGAAGAGTCAACCAATAGGTCTCTTGCTGAGACCTATTGTTTCTCAGCAAGTCAAAGCCCTAAGACCTCTGGGGAGAATTCAACAAGACAATGATCCCTTTGAACAGAGGGGTCCCTTTGATAGGCACCGGTTTCCTTTATTCTTTCTTCCTAGGCCTGAATCTTAGCAGCATTTCTGTATCATACCTGCACTGGCTACTTTCTCAACCAGGCCTCTGCCCTGCCCAGCCCGGGGAGGCAGATGGCAGTCAGCTGTGTCTGAACAAAAACCTGGTATATCCTGGAAAGGGGCCTGCGATTTTGAAGAGGTGAAGATGAAAAGAGGAGGGTGATAGATGAGCTGGGAGTTTACCTGAAGCGGCATGAACTCCTTCAATTTCTCAGGCACAGTGGATGCCCTTCTCTGTCTGGTAGTTCTCCAGATGGCGAGATGGTACGGGTAGTGGCGCACATGGTAGCACTTGGAGCATATGGACAAACTCCACCTGGAAAGACAGGGTCCCAGAGGAGAAGTCGGCTCAACTCAGCTGTTCTTACTGACAGCTGTGAAACCAACTTATCCAACCAGACTTCCCCTAACCACAACTGTCCAAATCAAATGATGGTTCGACTCTTAGCAACTTTTTCTGAATTTGAATTAGTTGGTATTTATTGCCCGTTAGATAACTGCAGAAAGATCCTCATGTCTCCAAGGAGTACATAAGTGAGCTTCTGGTATTTTGAGGAGTTGGGCCTCGAGGAAGAAACTACTATTGTGGTTTTCCTTTTTCACCCCTTCTGCCCCTGACTGGAAAAGAGTAGGCTGAAAATTGGGTTTGAAGAGAGCAGCTACAACCCAGACTCCTTGGGTGAGAAGAGGGAAGCCTCCAACTTGTTCTGTAGATAAATGAGATTATTCTTCTCTGGAGTTAAGAAAACAGCTAGAAAGAGAAAAGCTAGAATTACTTTATAGAAGAGAGCTAGATCTGTTTAGCTAAGAACTCACTCCTGACTCAGTAGGAAGGCATTTTCAGATTCCTTTTTGGTCTAGATTGAGAAGCTCAGATTTTCCACATGATGCTGGGACTAAAGGCAAAATTCTAAAAAGGCTGTGAGAAACAAGATGGACGAGAGCTGCACTGAAGGTTCTGCTTCCCCACCTCCCTGGGGCCATTCTACCTTGTCCATCATCTTCTTGGTTTGCCCATATCGACTAAGGTGGCGAGCCTCATAATCCAAAAATTAGAACAGGAGATCTAACCTCACGAAGGCTCCTGAGCCTGAAACAGCCTCCAGGTCAAGCTGCTTACTGGCATCATGATTCAAAGAACTGTAAGGAAACCCTCAGAATCCATGAAGGAGGGATGGTGGCTCAGAAGGCTAACCTTAGCAAGCCTGGTAAATTCCTTTAATTCATGTCCTGTCTCCAGAAGTGAAATCATCCAGATATTCTTTTTTTTTTTTTTTTTTTTTGAGACGGAGTCTTGCTCAGCTGCCCAGGCTGGAGTGCGGTGGCGTGATCTTGGCTCACTGCACGCTCCGCCTCCTGGGTTCTCGCCATTCTCCTGCCTCAGCCTCCGAGTAGCTGGGATTACAGGCGCGCGCCACCTCGCCCAGCTAGTTTTTTGTATTTTTAGTAGAGACGGGGTTTCACCGTGTTAGCCAGGGTGGTCTCAATCTCCTGACCTCGTGATTGGCCCGCCTTGGCCTCCCAAAGTGCTGGGATTATAGGTGGATCACTGCGCCCGCCACATGTCCAGATATTTCTCCTAACACCAAATACTCTCAGTGAGTAGGGGGGCACATTTTAATTAATGTAAAGTAACACTCACTTGTGATCTGTTTCTCTGGTGTGGCAGCTCAGCTGGTGAGGGTGGCGCCTGTGGATGGCAGGAAAGGGAGGCTGGGAAGAGGCTGGGTCCTATACCTGAGACAATATTCACGCATGTGGTAAGGAATGCCCAGGACTGGTACAACTCCTCTGCGGTGGTAATCATCTCTTCAAACATCTCCCACGACTTGTTGTCATGTGGTGATGAGTACACAAACTGTTCAATCTGCAGAGAGAGGGACCAAGAGATGGTGACAGTGGTATAGGGTGAATAAACGACTGAAGCGGAGACACATCCCTTGCCATGAAGACCTCGTTTCCACACCACTGGGAGGCAGACGCAGGCTGGGCCCGCAGTAACTGGGAGTGGACCACAAGAGCAAATGCTTATGGGCAAAGCGAGCTTCACATATGCGTGCCAGCCCTGTTCTGAGGCCAGAGATATATATTGACTGGGATCATCCTCACAACAGGCCACAATAGGCCTGGGTGGGAGGCAGGCACCGCTACTGTTATCCTCTTCGCATAAAGGCAGAATGGAGCACCGGGGGCTTATGTATTTTGCCCAATGTTATACAGCTGGTGAGTGGCAAATCCACAGCCTGGCTTCTGTGGTGATACTCCCCGCCACTCCAGCATGTACTTCCCCAGAAACACAGAGGTAAGCAATGAGAGGAAAAGCTGGAGCCAGGATGGGCCTCAGCAACACAGATCCCATCTCTCGTCTAACCCTTCTGGAGAGAGAGAAAGGTCCACTCTCTACCCCAGACCTATCTACCACCTTCTCAAACTGATGGACTCCGGAAGGATACACGGGTGTCACGGCCATGGGAGCCCACCTCCTGACAGAAGCAGGTAGACAGGCCAGCATACTTGATGGCAGAACTGGCTGGGAGCCACTCATCCCAGGGCGTGTGCAGTGGCGGGGCTGCTCTGAGGTGGCACCAGCACTTTCATCATAGGAGCTTGCTTTTCACTGACTTTCACTGCCTTTGCCAATCACCTGTGGAAGGAAGGAGCTATACCAGTTAAGAGGAAGAGGGTATGACCTTGGCTAGAATAAGAAACCACAAGAAAGATATCAGTGATAGTGCAGGAAAACTTCCTTAATCCCTGCCTGTGAGGGGAGAGAATACTAAAAAGATAAAGGAAAGGCTTCAGTCCACCTGGGGTCCTTAGACAGAGATCAAAGAAATGCAAATTAAGAGGAAAGAATATTTTCCACTTATCTTTTTTTCTTTTTTGAGACAGAGTCTCACTTGTTGCCCAGACAAGAGTGCAGTGGCATCTGCCTACTGTAACCTCCACTTCCCAGGTCTGGCGATTCTCCTGCCTCAGCCTCCTGAGTAGCTGGGATTACAGGCACGCATACCATGCTTGGCTAATTTTGTACTGTTAGTAGAGACAAGGTTTCACCATGTTGGCCAAGCTGATTTGGAACTCCTGACCTCAGGTGATCTCACCCGCCTCAGCCCCCAGAGTGCTGGGATTACAGGTGAGCCAATTGTGCCCGGCCATTTTCAACTTATATAATGGCTCAAGCCTGTAATCCCAGCACTTTGGGAGGCCGAGACGGGCGGATCACGAAGTCAGGAGATCGAGACCATCCTGGCGAACACGGTGAAACCCCGTCTCTACTAAAAATACAAAACTAGCCGGGCGAGGCGGCGGGCGCCTGTAGTCCCAGCTACTCGGGAGGCTGAGGCAGGAGAATAAGGGAACCCGGGAGGCGGAGCTTGCAGTGAGCGCATCCGCCACTGCACCAGCCTGGGCGTATGAGTTAGACTCCGTCTCAAAAAAAAAAAAAAAAAGAAAATCATCCATGATGAATAATGGCCAATGCTGGCAGGTATGCAATATAATTTCTGCTGGTAGCCACATAAATTAACTTGTGAGGCGACAAACACCATGTGGATGCATGACACCAGTCTCTGCCAGTACTTATAGGTTAGTGGTTAGTGATCCTAAAGAATGTACTTTGGCTGTTCAGCTAAACAGTACAATGCAAAAAAAAGAAAGTTCAGACAGGACAAAATTCACTGTAACATTATTTATGTAATACTATACAACCATAAAAATGAAGAATACAGTAACATGGAAAGATTTTTGATATAATGCTACATAAAAAGGCCGCCAATGGGTCACAGTGCCTGTAATCCCAGTACTTTGGGAGGCCTAGGCAGGCAGATCACCCAGTCAGGAGTTCAAGACCAGGCCTCACAACTGGTGAAACCCCATCACACTAAAAATACAAAAATTAGCCAGGTGGCTGGGCGCGATGGCTCACACCTGTAATCCCAGCATTCTTGAGCCCGAAAGTGGTGGTTCACCTGAGGTCAGGAGCTGAGACCAGCTCTGGCCAACAGGCGAAACCCGTCTCTACTAAAATAAAAATAAAAATAAAAAAATTAGCCGGGTATGGTGGTGGATGCCTGTAGTCTCAGCTACTAGGAGGGTGAGGGTGATACCCGCTGAACTTGGTGGGTGGAGGCTTCAGGAGCGAAGATTATGCCACTCACCCAGCCTGGGTGAAAGAGTGAGACACCGTCTTAAAAAAAAAAAAAAATCAGCCAGGTATGGTACACGCTGTAATCCCAGCTACTCGGAGGTTGAGGCACAAGAATCACTTCAATCCAAGAGGCAAAGGTTGCAGTGAGCTGCAGATCGTGCCACTGCACTCCAGCCTGGCAATAGAGACTTCTGTTCCAAAATAAATACATAAATAAAATAAAATAAAAATAAAAATAAAAAATAATGCTAAGTAAAAAGGCAATTTATGTACATGGCAATTATAAGTATGTGAAAACAATATATATAAGGAAAATCCTAAAGTAATATATTTTAAGATGACAATTGTTATATTAGGTCAATGGGAAAGCAGGTAATTCCCTCTGCCATTTCTAAATTTTCTGTTATGTAGCAGTATTTTAATTAAAAAAAAAAAACAAACAGGAAGAAAGGTTCCTCTGGGTCAGTGTTTAGAGCCTGGAAAACTACCTCGCTACCTGGCAGTAGGAATGTAGCCACTGTGGGGCCATTCACATACAACATAGGAAAGCTCAAGGGCTGTGCAGCCTAACATGGTATAGCCAGCCACATATGACTATTTCAATTAAATTGGGCTGGGCGTCGTGGCTCACACCTATAATCCCAACACTTTGGAAGGCTGAGGCGGGTGGATTGCTTGAGCCCGGGAGTTTGAAATCAGTTTGGGCAACATAGTGAGACCCTGTCTCTATAGAGGAAATTAATTAAAAAATAAAAATAAAAACAAATTAAATTAAATTAAAATGTAGTTCCTCGGTTGCATCAGCCACATTTTCAGTGCTCAAGTCACATGTGGCTCATGGCTGCCATGCTGCATCATGCAGACCCAGAACATTTCCATCAGTGCAGAGAGTTCTATTGGGCAGCGCTATATTCATTCTCCAGAACTGAGGTTTTTATCAGACAAGAAGTACCAGCCAAAATTCTTCACTATTGAAACCTGTGATTCTTCCTGCCTGTGGGTCCAAGAAGCGTCTGGATAAGAGATGGAGAACGCAGGACTCAGGGAGCACCGGCTACCTAACAATTTCCATAATACTCCACATAGGTTTCTCCCTAGTGTCACCTGCAGTGGATATTTCGAATGCTCTTTAATGATTATCTAATCTTACGGGTTGAAATTAGAAAAAGAAAGAAAAGGTAAAACAGGTTTTAGCCAGTAAAGGAACACATTCCTCCCTTCGTTAAAAGAAAGCAGAGAGGGAGGAGGTCAAGGTCACACTAATGCTCAGGGTTTAGAGAGAACACTTTGTTTCCCAGTGCGTCTTGAATGAAAACTTAACTTTTACCTCATCAACAGAAACAATGGAAAGATTGTTCTAATTACTGAACTATCTCCCTATATAAATTAGATGAGTCCAGCAGCAGTTGTCTAACTACCTCCACTGTCTGGAGAGGAAATAAGCCAGTAGGAACTAAGTCTCTATTTCTGACAGAAGAGTTGAAAGGGAGGAGCAAATGAATAGTAGACACTGCTGCATTGGACAGCTGTTAGCAGAGACGCTCTAGAAATCTTGAGTGCCGAACACAGAGTGGGGTGCTGTTGTTGGTGTTAGAGCCAGTTGATCAGAATGACCTTCTGAACCTTGACTTGAATTGTCTGGCTCTCCCTGACATGGTCCGTGGTTGAGAAGCAGCCACAAACTGGAAGCCACCTCCATCCCAAGGCAAGTATGTCTCACCCTGTGGAAGCTTCCAGTCTGGGGTGAGGAGTGGGAGGACACAGGAAGTGGGCTAGGAGATCAGTGCCACTTCTGTAATTTCCTTTTGTCCAAGCACCCAAGGAATGGGCTTCTTTTCTAAGCTCATGGTGTTGAAGTATACTTGATTTAGATTCATCATACAGATTACCCAGGGAAAGGTAAAAGAGGCTCTGCAGCTGCACTGTCTAATATGGTAGTCATTAGCTACATATTTAAGTTAAAATTAATTAAAATATAAAATGTGCTTCCTCCGTTGTATCACCCACATTTTAAGTGCTCAAGAGTCACAGATATAGAACGTTTCCATCATCGCAGAAAGTCCTATTGGACAGCACCACTTTGCATCACTGAAGTTAAGCTACATAACTTAAGTCATTCTGCCACCTGACCCAGGCTACTCACCTTATAAAGTTCTTCATCAAACTGGCTGAGCTGTGCCACCTCCTGCATGACCTCCTTCCTCATGAAAAAGGGGGTATAAATGGGAGTGTAGCCCCGACTTCCCAAGGTGCGAAGGGCATACTGGATGAGAGCCTGTTCCAGGAACACCAGGACCCCCTAGAGGAGCAGAGACACAGAACTGTGTGACTGGGTCTTGTCACTGTCATGTTCAGCTAGCACTGACACCCAAAGGCACCTGGGCCGACAGAACAGGACTACCCAGGGGCACACAGGAGGCCAAAAAAAGACCACAGATCACAGCAACTGACATTCTGAACCTTGAGATTCATTCTGAACACTGAAGCCCAGCAAACTATCCAGACACACAGTTAAGAGAATTCTCTTGATGTTCTCAAAGTACTTTGGGCCTACACAAACCACAGTGCTTCTGACAGTGGATTTTGATTCTTTGTTACTTGTCTGACTATCCAATTATACTGAGCTACTTAAAGGCAGAGACTGTTCTGATTCAGTCAGCAAAACATACATTCATTATGGAGGACCACTTAGTGGCTTTTGTTCTGTGGAATCCTGATAAGCCCTCTCTTGCTTTAGAAAGAGAATTGCATCTAATTGCCAATACATTTGCAGAAAGGCAAGTACAACTGGTAGATTTGGGGGCCTCTTTAAGTAGGTTATGTTTCTCTGCAAAAAAAAAAAAAAAAAAAAAAATTTTGTTTCTTCTTTATAATCCTATCCTCACTGGTTCCCAGCTCTTACCTTCAAGAAATACCCTTGACTCCCAGCCACCTTGGCCCCCTTTTCGCCTTCAAAGCCATCTACCATCACCACCAGGTCCACATGAGAGTACTTCTTCCTGACCGTACAGTCACCCCAAATCCTCTCTACTTTGTTGTCCGCATCCTAAGGAAACAGAGCCGCATACAGTCACCCCAAACCCTCTCCTCTACTTTGCTGTCCGCATCCCAAGGAAACAGAGCCAGAAAGAAAGATACGACATGTGATTTTATTTTTTTTATTTTTAATGAAATTATTTATTTATTTTTTTTTTTTTTTTGAGACACGGTCTTACTACTTCTGCTTTTCATCTCTAAGGCTGGAGTGCAGTGGCACAATCTTGGTTCACTGCAACCTCAACCTTCCAGGCTGCAGTGATCCTCCCACCTCAGCCTTAGCTAGGACTACAGACAGGTGCGCGACACTATGCTCGGCTAATTTTGTATTTTTTTGTAAAGACTGGGTTGTGTCATGTTGCCCAGGCTAGTCTCCAATTCCTGGGCTCAAGTGATCCTCCTGCCTAGGCCTTCCAAAGTGCTGGGATTACAAACGTGAGCCACTGCGCCAAGCTTGATATATGATTTCTTTTTTTTTTTTTTTTTTTTTTTTGAGACGGAGTCTCGCTCTGTCGCCCAGGCTGGAGTGCAGTGGCACTATCTCGGCTCACTGCAAGCTCCGCCTCCCGGGTTCACGCCATTCTCCTGCCTCAGCCTCCTGAGTAGCTGGGACTACAGGTGCCCACCACCGCGCCCGGCTAATTTTTTCTATTTTTTGTAGAGACGGGGTTTCACCATGGTCTCGATTTCCTGACCTTGTGATCCGCCCGCCTCGGCCTCCCAAAGTGCTGATATATGATTTCTTAATTCTACAACCTCCATCTTTCCAAACTTTATTCCATGAACAACTTAGCTTTGTGACATCATCGCTTAACTTAAACACTACTGTGTCTCATAACTAGAGAAGGCAACTTGCTACTCAATGGAGAAGTAATAACTTACAAAGTTTGAGAAGTAATTCTAGCTATGAAACTGGGAAGGATGATTTTCCAAGAGGTCTACAGTATTCTCTCGGTTTTTTGTTTTTTTTTTTTTACCCTTTTAAATTACCTCTCAAATCCTGCACAAGGACAACTCTTCCTAGACAATCCACATTGCCTGGGGTGCAGAGGAGAATGTAGTTTTTTTTTTTTCCAGGCTCTCATTGGTCCCAGGGCCACATGAGGGTGGACTCGGGACCCTGACCTCCTGAGTCTGCTCATGGTCTGTGCTCTGCAGCCTCCTGCACACCCCAGCCTGCAGTGAGTTTAATGTTCACCAGGGAATGAATGAAAGAGGCACAGATGGGCCCTGCTCCGGCTGGGGTGTCAGGGAACAAAGGCTGGGCTCAGAGCAGCTTTGTGCAGGGGAAGCTCCCGCTTAGCAGGAAACCTTTATCATGCAGATTTCCCTTCGACCCGCAGCTTCTCAGCGGGGTGTGGGTGAGGGGGTTAGGTTGATTTAGCAGATCCCTCCTACGAGACGCCTGCTACCACGGGCAACTGCAGTGGAGGACAGCAGCCCTATTTAGAAGAGATATCTGTGCCAGGAGTCTCCTCCTACCTGCTGTCTCTGCTACTTCCCAATCAGACAAGGATCTGACTCCTGCAATTCTCAATTGGTGGACAGAGGGAATATACAAAGAACCTGCTTCTGACAGAGAGTGCCAGTGTTCCACAGATCTCCTCCCGTCCCTGCCCCTGCAGAGACAGCAGCCACCTAAGGTTGCCTCCCGCTGGGGCACAGCCACCTACCTCATCATTACTGATGGGCACAGAAGGGTGCAGAAGGTTCCCAATCTCTCGAAGGTTCTCAAATCGCTCTGCTTCCAGCTTTATCCGCTCCGCGTCACACTTCAGGATGGCTTCGTCAATGAGGAATCGGACTTGATTTGTGAGACTTTCAGGTTCTGTAGATGAACAGGCCAGGCCATAAGCAGGACAATGAGGCAAGGACAGCACAGGAATAGATTTGGTTGCCCTAACACTGTTGTGCTCTAAAAGAGCCCTTAGGTAGCATTTAAAAACTGGGAAAAGCGAGAGACTTTTAAGAACTGAGATTGATTTCACACACAGGATATATCTGATCTTGCTCTAAATCATCGGCATTTTCCTTGAGTGGTGCTTGAGGCAGAGATGGATAGTTCTGTCCCTCCCTATTGTTCCCATACATAGCAGAAATGTTAGTACAAGCTCTTACTTAAGAGTTTCATAATCTGCAGTTTTCTGATTTTCTTGACTGAACCAATTTGTAGCACTCTATTGATGCTGCATTTAGCTATTCTCTAGGGAGATTATAAATTTATTAGGAGTGGGGTTGTCTGAAGCATATTTTTGGATTCTGTATTGCAGCTGTTTCAAACTGTGCTCTTAACTTCTGCTTCCCAGAGCCAGTGCTTTAGCAGTAGGGCCAGGCAGATCAAACCCCAATCCGAGCCTTCAAGCACAACAACTTTGCTTTGGTTTATGTTCTTGCTATATGTTAAGTTTCAAGAAAGGGTTCAAGTGACTAAAAAAACTCAAAAATTACTCCTCTTGCTTGAAGCAGGTATTTGCTGTATTTACAGTGGGTTAAGTTTCTTACCTTTGTGCCAACAAAGGTAAAGAAAATGGAGCCTTTCTCTCAAACAAACACAGTTCCTTTCCTTTTTCTATTCTGCCCCTACCCTTGACTCTCCTCCATCTGTCTCCATCTCCGGCTGTCTAATAAATACTCAAATATAGGAAATATAACTAGAATCGTTAGGGACATTTCCAAGCTTACAGCGAAATGAAAAGGATGTCACAATGCTGTGTGCAGCAGCCAGTATGAGGAAGCACTTGCTGTCTAGGAATAAAATTAAGACAAAACAGCAGAGATCCTAACTTAGAAAAGGACTCTAACTTACAGCTAAAGCGTCTGCAGTAAGGTCATGAGAGTTAGCACATTCTCTGAGACAGACTCTGTCCTTATTCCACTGGCTCTTTTCTGCAGGAAGGAAAAAACCCAGCACAAATCAGTAAAGAAAATCTCTGTGTTGTTTTATAAATGCATTTTTAAATTAACGTATTATATAAGCGAATCACAGAACTTCCTACATAAATTTTTCTAAGATACAGCATGTAGGAAAAAAATTGAAGTACACTGGAAGCCCAGAAGTCAAAGTGTAAAGCCCTATGCTGCCCTTAATAGCTTTGATCTAAAATCAATTAATCTGTCTGGGTCAGAGAATTAACATCCTAGAAGAATCCCGAAGAATGTCACTCCCTGTCGCGAGTCCTCATAGAATCAGAAGAGAATTGATGATTTGCAGAATGCTCTGAGCTACAAGCCCAGGAGAGGCAGCGCAGTGCTCAGGAGCAAGCCCTGGGGCAGACACACCTGCGTGTGGATTCTTTTTTTTTTTTTTGACGGAGTCTCACTCTGTCGCCCAGGCTGGAGTGCAGTTGGTGTGCTCTTGGCTCACTGCAACCTCCACCTCCCGAGACTCGTGATTCTCCTGCCTCAGCCTCCCAAGTAGCTGGGATTATAGCGCGAGTACACCACCCGTCTGGATTTTTGTTGTTGTATTTTAATAGAGACAGGGTTTCACCTGTTGGACAGGGTGATCTCAAACTCCTGGTCTCAGTGATCCCCCACCTTGGCCTCCCAAAGTGGGATTACAGGCATGAGCCACTGCCCACCCCAAGTTAGATTCTTATCTACCTGCACTAACAACAAACCCAGCATTGAGGCTAAGAGGAAAGATGGATGGAGTGATGACATATCAAGCAGCCAAGGAAAACTCAAACAAACAAAAAGTCACAGGATCTGGAACTAAGTTTAGAACAATCAATGCAGTTAGCACAATGGCAGGGGTATAACCAGGGCTGGATTCGTTCTCTCTAGTTTCTCTTCTCGTCCTTCTGTATGATAATTCTGCTAAATCATCACTTGTAATCCTTGCACAAAATAGAATGAATTTAAGAAGATCACTTAAGAGTTAAATTCTTCTTAATTAAAAGAGTTGGCAGGGCCCTGTGGCTCCATGCCTGTAATCCCAGCATTTTGGGGCGCTGGGGGCAGGTGGATCACTGAGGTCAGGAAGTTCCAAGACCTGCCTGGCCAAGATGGTAAAACCCTTCTCTACTAAAAATACAAAATTAGGCAGGTGTGGTAGCGGGCACACTATGACCCAGCTACTCGGGAGGCTGAGGCAGAAAGAATCACTTGAGCACTGGGGGGCGGAGGTTGCAGTGAGCCAAGATCATGCCACTGCCTCAGCCTAGGTGACAGAGTGAGACTCCGTCTCAAAAAAAAAAAGGATGGCCGGACACAGTGGCTCACGCCTGTAATCCCAGCACTTCCAGGAGGCGAGGCAGGCGGATCACAAGGTCAGGAGATAGGAACCATCTGGCTAACATGGTGAAATCCCATCTCTACAAAAACACACACATGAAAAAAATTAGCCCAGGCATTGTGGCAGATGCCTGTAGTCCCAGCTATCGACAGGAGGAGAATGGGAGTAGACCTGGGAGGCGGGGCTGCAGTGGTCGAGATCGCACCACTGCACTCCAGCCTTGAGCCACAGATGAGACTCTGTCTCAAAAAAAAAAAAAAAAGTTAAAGAAAGTTAATTAAAGGAAGGCCATTATAGTAAGATATATGAGACTTCAACAAAACTTGCATAAGAATATTTAGCATCTGCTTTGTAAGTATAAATAAAACAAAGTATAACCAGGTATAGTGAGCACAGAACATAATCCCAGCTACATGGTAGAGGCTGAGGTGGGAGGATCGCTGGCCAAGGTTCAAACCAGCCTGGGCAGTAGAGTGAGATCCTGTCTAAATATATAAATATATATATATTTTAAATTAGCCGAGCATAGTGGAGTATGCCTGTACCCTCCAGCCTCAACCCAGGAGGATGGGGCGGGAGGATTGCATGAGCCCAGGAATTAGAGCTGGTAGGCTATGCATGTGCCACTATGCTGCAGCCTGGGTGACTTTAAAAATTAGCCAGGCACAGTAACATGTATCTATAGTCCTAGTTACTTAAGAGGCTGAGGTGGGGACTCCCGGCAGGCCAAGGAGTTGGAGGTTGCAGTGATCTATGATCATGCTGCCCTCTAGCCTGGGCAACAGAGCAAGACACACTGTCTCAAAAAAGAAAGAAAGAAAGAACAAAAGGATAAATCTCTCAAATGTAAAGCATAGAAATCCTTTAGGTTCATTACCGCATTCTAACTCATATGATCAAAATTCTAACCATAACTCCTCCACCCTTCAGTGACTCAGAAAAATCATCTTAAAAGCTAGAAAAGAAAATCTGGCCAGGTGCAGTGGCAGCATAGGAGGACTCCCATCTCTGAAAAAAAAAAAAAATTAGCCGAGTGTGGTAGCATGCTACTAGGAGGCTGAGGCAGGAGACTACTTGGGCCCAGGAGGTTGAGGTTTGCAGTGGTATGATTATGCCACTGCACTCCAGCCTAGAGCAACAAAACCAAGACTGTCTCAAAAAAGGAAAAAAAATTGGAAAAGTCTGAAACTATCAGAATGAGTCTTGATAAGAACAAACAGACACCAGGTAGGGAAAAAATGGACATAAATCTCAGATATTTGCAATGGAATCAGGCAGGGTGATACGTTGGCAAGATAGTTACCAGGCTCCCTTGCTATTTGATAGTCCCCCAGGGCAGCAAATTCAAGTTCAGAGCTCCCAAAGGTTTGAGCTCTGCAACTAGAAGTTAAGTATGAACCACAAACAAGCTCACCACAATTTCCCTAAGCGATTCCATACCCATTAAATGGGCTGACAAATATACTATCTACTCCAGCTTTGCAGTAAGGATCAAAACCAAAATGAGATGTCTGTAGAGAAATTATCTGAGATATTTCAGTGCTCTACAAATTAAAGCACTATCATTACCATTTTCAGTGGCAGCGGAGTAGAACACTGCCTGCATAGCTAACAAAATCAGATCTAGAGATATTGTGCCAAGCTGACAACACTCTGGCTCCATCTTCTTGCTACAAAAATGCCCAGCTCAAACTTTTAAGAAAGCACAACATGAGTCCCAAAGAACACCCAGGGAGGAATATGTATAGGAAGGATTAACATAGTATGGGGTCTCTAGCATGCAAATGACTAAGTCCACAGAAGAAAGAAACTGGATGATTATCATTTTCCGCTTTCCACATTCACAAAAGTGTTACACGCTTGAAAGTTTAACAAAATATTGTCAAGAGAAAGATGCGACTGTCCTTGAAGCCAAGAGCAGGTCCTGAATCCAAGATCATCTTTTTATGCTCCCCTTACTGGTGTAGTTCAAAGAGTTCTATAATGTTTTTGTTGTTGTTTTTAGTTTGGGGTTTTACAACCCAAAGTTACCTAGTTGAAAGTGCATTTAATTAATTCATTTTTTTTTGGGAACGAGGTTTCACTGGGAAACCCAGGCTGGAGTTCAGTAAGCGGCAATCTTGAGCCAAGCGCGAAGCATGTGAGTGCAGGTGGTCTTGCCTCAGTATCATGATTGAAACGGGACTGCAGGCAGTGCCCAGGCGCAGGCACGAGATGTTTTATTTTATTTTTGTAGAGACGGGTTTCACCATGTTGTGCAGGCTGGTCTTAAACTCTGGGCTCAAGCAATTTGCCTTGGCCTCCCAAAGTGCTGGGACTACAGGCGTGAGCTACTGTACCTAGCTATAATATGTAATGTATGTCATGATTAAGGGCTAATAGGTATTTTTGAAGGGGTTAAAAACATGAACACCTTCTGGATACCAAAGCCAAAGCTGAGCTGAAGCATTGATCATTTCCAGGCATGAGAGGATTTTTGGATGAAGGCCAGTAACATTACTTGCCATTCATTGTAACTCACAATTGCTGAACAACTTCCATGTTCTTGTAGTATGCCAAATTTTCTA